ACTTTGCTATAGCTTCGCACCAACACAACAGTACAATCATTGCCTGAACTGCATGTACTTGTTAACGGTGTTCTTATTTTTTCATGGAAGGAAGGAGAAGTTATACATGTAAGTGCAATATGTTATTTTAAATTTTTATTTCTTTTAATACATATTTTTACATTTCAAACTTTCAGTATATTTTCGCCCTCCACTCACGCTAACACGACAACTTTTCGATAATTGCAAGCACTATACATACATGTTAACATTTTTCTGTTTTCTTCAGAAAACTCTTATGTTGAACAAAACATATTCACACAATTACAATTATATGTTGCACTTTTACAAGTTCCTTCAATGTTAAATGAAAGTGATCAGTATTAAGTTCAAAATAAATAAATATTGTATTCAGAGACATTTTGTAAAGGAAGAATTAATAAATGTGATTTAGAAACACCACGTGTATAGGAACAGTTTTTTTTAATATAGTATATATCCTTTGTCTCTGTTTTCATTGTGCCTGATGATGGCCTGAAATGTGTTTGAATTTTTATATATATATATATATATCTTTGGTTTTCAAAGAGTAAATATTTGTGGCTTAAATTATTGTATTATTTTTCTGAATTAAATACCACAAGATATAACCAAACCAACTAAGAATCTGGCTGTTAAAAGTTGTGATTAAAGGTTAAACTTTTGCATGCAGGAACCTTGTTGGTTGATAAACGAAATATTGATATGTGGAAAAATACATTGCTGCAATCACCCCTTTGAAGGTACAGTAGTAATTATAACATATTTGGTAAAAATGTCAATCATGACAAAACCAAGCCTATGCATGTAAGTTGGAACTGTTTTAAAATTGCCCAAAAGAGAGAAAAATGTGATATAACATGATTTATTTTTATGAACTTAATTTGAGAACATTGCATCACCATGAATTTTCTCTGAAATACCTGATAAAAAAGTACATCAGGAAGTGAAAAGTAAACATTTCTGTACAAGTACATTAGAGAGTCTGTTTTTCTGATGGGGTAATGTGAATACTCTTTAAAAACTTATCTAGGTTTGTGACTGACCAGTCTTATTAACATAATAATAATAAGTTTTCATTTTATATCTAGCTGGTTTGTCTTTCCCAGGTAAAGTCCTCAGTGATGTTCCTCAGTCTCTCTATCTATTCTATGAAAGGCTATTGAGTGACTATTGTTTGGATGTAAGTACAGAAGGTCCAGTGGCAACTTAATTCTCTTCCAAATATCTTTGATAATGGTGTGTTCTCTGTAGCTTCATGTACTCCTGTTTCATAACTCAAAAGTAGCAGTGGAAGGTCTTGAACCCATGGTTTTTAATGTTCATTTGCTACCTGGTTTAAAAGTGTACAGTTGAATCTCTTCACTGTGATGTCAGTAGATGATTGAAAGACTGCTTTCCTGGTTTTTTCATTCCAAGGATCTGATGCATTTCTACAGACAAGACCAATTTCAAGTTTTGTCCATGATTTGAATTAAATTCTCTAAGCACTCCAATTCTTGAAACAAATTCATTGACAAGTTTCTTTGCTGGAACTTCTGTTTTCTGGTTAAAACAGTCCATCACAACCATGATGTATGTATTTCCACTGTAACTACTCTGATAGAAGAACAACTACATTACCAGAAGTGGAGTTCCAACACAGTATTGCTGTAGCTGCCCATCCTGTTTCAGAAGCTCTCTCAAGTGGAGTTCCAACACAATATTGGTGTAGCTGCCCGTGCTGTTTTGTTTTTAGACCCTTTTGCTCACAACATAGTTCAAAGGATTTACACCAATTATCTACAGATCCCTAGCACCCAACTCAGTAGAAACACCCTCTTACTTTCTCCAGTATCTTCTTGACATCTAAGTGCCCAGCTGTTGGAAAGTTGTGGAGATGCTGGAATATGTTGGAATATAGAGACTGAGGAAGAACCAACTGTAGTTATTTTTGTCCACTGGTATTTTCCTGTTTCAGACACAATAAGCCCTTTTGTAAACATAACCACATATATCCAAGAAATATTTATCTTTGGGTTATATGGTGTGACTGTAAGCCATGAGGGGTTTTTTTTGGTACTTTTCTTGATTCATTGAATAATTGGTTTCAAACTCTCATCTTTTGGTTGATCATCTTTCAATAGTGTTGAAGCACGTTCTTCATTATTTGTGGATATCACATCGTGGATTACAGTATGTTGTACTTTAGACTGGTTGTCTTTAATATATTGTTATTCCAATTTTCACACATCAACACATCTCCAGGATAGTGTTAGCATTTTTCTAGCTCCATTTAGATGATTCACGATGTTAAAGTTGTACTCCTAAAGTTCTTGAAGCAATCATGCTAACTGGCTTTATGCATTACAAAAATTTACCAGCAACTTCAATGCTTCATGATCTGTTGGGTATGTAAACGTTTTCCCTCGCAGCTAATGCTGCATAATCTGTTGGGTATGTAAATGTTTGCCCTCGCAGCTAATGCTGCATGATCTGTTGGGTATGTAAACGTTTGCCCTCGCAGCTAATGCTGCATGATCTGTTGGGTATGTAAACGTTTGCCCTCGCAGCTAATGCTTCATGATCTGTTGGGTTTGTAAATGTTTGCCCTCGCAGCTAATGCTGCATGATCTGTTGGGTATGTAAACGTTTGCCCTCGCAGCTAATGATGCATGATCAACACTTGGTAGCTCATGTTGTGTTCTATAGTACTTATTTATACAGCATTCATTACTTTGCTTTAGTAGATAACCCACAGGTTCATTTTCATATTGTACGTGTAATAACACTGCAAAATCACTGGCATCTGTATATCAGTGGATCTTCAAGAGTTGGTTATGCTAACTTCTAAGGTGGCTAATTATGTTCTAAATATGATGTCCATTTCATTTAACAACTTTTATAAATTTCCATCTCTTACTTCTTGATTTTCTCTTTTCTAAAAATTTCTTCTTGGTCTTTTAATTTTCTGTCTGTTTCTTTATCTTGTAATTGTTTTGTCATTTCTAGCAAGGTTTCAATCTACCTTCTTGTTTGTGTAATCATCTTATTAAACAGTTCAAGTTTAGTCAAAGTTCTATTTTATTTTCATCAAAATAATCCCACAGTTTTACAAAGTATTCCATCGTTAGTTGGGTTCTTTTATATTAGCTGGTAAAAATAATGTGAGATACAGACGACATAACAATAATTTATTTATTTATTTATTCCTTAACATTTGCTACAGATAGTTACTTTCACTTGTGGTTGTAGGCCTAACTGCACAAACGACATTTCAACAGAAATTCCAAGACTAGTGGTACCTAACTTACAAATGCAGACCTTGCATATTTTTTTTTCCTATTCAACAAACTTAATCGCTCACTACTTAATTCTCTGAATTATTATACACTTCACTAACAGCATAGTGATATTTATATCTAACATACCCTTGCCTAGATACTTCCCGAAATTACTAGATTCTTAACATCATCATAATGGTGAGCTCCTCATTTAACATTTGAATTATAACATTGAAAATATAGTCTTTAGGAATTACAAACTTTACACCTTTAACGAAAATCAAAACTTGGCTCAATTTAATGAATATTCTGACGGAAAACCATTTTTTGAAATATTTTTAATGTTTTAATTTAGGTGTTTGCTACTAGGTGCATAACATATTGTTACGACAGCGGAAGTCACGTGACGAGGGTAACACGTAATACGTTCTAGAAAGATCGGGGAACATCACGAATAATCAAGTATTTGCTAGACGCCCTCTATTCTTGTATACAAGTGCTCCAGACAAATAATCGGGATGTAATTGCAGACAGAGATAGAGATGGATAATTGACTC